GTTTTGTATGATTGGAATTCGAAGAGGTTGCACCGAATTAAGGAGATAATATTGCCTGCTAGTCCTCTTGCTCTTGCTATCAGGACAAAAATAGTGCAGGGAAAGCAGTTTTATCGAAGGAATGTTCCGCGCCGTGTCTGAACCATGTCAAATCATCCTCAGGTGATAGTGAAACTTAAGAACAAAAAGCTTCTGCCGAGACTAGTCGTGCAACGGTAAAATCTACCTGTGCCCTTCAGCTTCCTTGACTGACCGATGATATGTACTTCTGATGCACATTTAGAAGGTAAAGTCGCCACACTGGCCTCCAAAAGATGACAACTCACTGAAAAATTATTGTAGCGTAAGTCTTACCGCCACAGGCGTCTTCCTTAACCGCCTCCGTTTTTTACCTCGACGCGATGCAGTTTTCGTCCTAATTGGCGGTTTGTTTATCAGTACTCTGCGCTTTGTCCAAAACCCGAATTTTACTCCTGCTACCACTCATCCGGCGTCGTCTGCTTTCTAAATTCTGGTCCTTTATTTGACTCTGTGAACGATTATAATAACACTATCAGTACTTCGTTCGATTTAAATCTAAGTCAATGGGCAGGATGAGGCGAATAATTCTCTGTTATTACATTCTGCGACATAATCACCTGTATCTGCTACTGCTTTCTGAGTATGTCTCTGATGACGAATCCGTGACGGATCTCGAAACATCAGGCGAATTGAAGTATTGTCCCAGCAATCGAGTCGTCTTCTCAATTACTTCCTGGGAACTCGCATGTTCGCTTGTATTGGCGAGTCATTAAAGTCTCTTCCACGTCCCGAAGATAATGGGATTATTTTCGCTTCGTCCTCTCTTTTGCTGCTTACTTTTAACAAGCCCTCATTTCCGAGAATTTCATTTTTTCTCCTTCGGCCTGTCCCTTTTTTCGTCTCTAGGCACGTTCCGCGTTGGAGCCCGCTGTGTAAGCAATGGGAAACGTCTTTTCAAAGAAGAAAAACAGAGAAAGACCGCCAAAGGGTTCCGGCCCTTCAACCTACCCGGAGCGCCCATATCAGGGCGGTGGCGCAGGACAGCAGCAGCCACTGTACCGGCAACAGCCTTACCAACCGGGAACCAACAGGAACAACATGCCCAACCATGCAGAAACCATGGGACAGAGTGAAGTGAACGCAGGTCACCAGGTCCCACCCGATTATCCCACGCCCATGTCAGCGCCAACACCCAGCACGGTGGTGCGTGTGCGAGCACTCTATAAATACTGTGCCCAAAACCGTGACGATCTGGACTTTAACAAGGGTGACGTTATGATTGTGGAGTCCGGCCTCTCGGAGTCCTGGTGGTTGGCTCGCCATCTGAGGACCGGCCAGCAAGGATATATACCCAGCAATTATGTGGTCGTAGAGGATGGTCGACCGACCTCACTGGATGCCTGGTTTGACATTAGTCGCAATGAAGCCGATCGTTTGCTTCTCGTGCCCGGACTTCTTCTGGGCACTTATATTCTTCGCCCCAGTTCCCGTAAGTCCTATGCTCTCACCTAACCTCTGATCGCCTACCTCAACGTACAGTTTTGTGCCGTAATACTTAAAAGACAGACCTAGACAGCTGCTTGACCGGTATTCAGAATGCACACTTTCCGTCCGAGTTCAGTCCCGAGTACACCAGCAGCCCCGAATGTTGATAGCGAGTAAGCTGCAAATAGCCCTACCAGTGTCCGTAACCTTTTTTTCAGCACGACTTCTAGTTGTCTGGTTTGGTTGGATGGCTTGTTGACCCAAATCTCTATGGCCAAAGGGAAATATACATGTACATGCCGAAATCGGGATATATTTGGTGAACACCACTCGTGTGGGGCAGTATTATGGTCTGAAGTGCACTACGGAGGTTTTCAGTGGTTTTTCAAAACTGCAGTATCTGCCAGAAAGCACACAGGGGACACTGGAGGACCCACTGATGAACCGAACTCCCCGCAACTGTTATGCAGACTATCGGTGAATCGGGTGTCTGAACTGATAACTAGTACTTGTG